TTCTGAATAATCATAGTGTACGAGTTCTCTTTTGCAGGCACGAATTCTTCTGTGTAGTTCACTTCCCAGCCCAGAACTATAAGGTCCCAGATAAATGTAGTTCCAGACTGTTCCATACAATATTATCAGTTGCGTTTATTCGGATAAAGAACGAAAAAAACCAAAAAAAAAAACATTTAAACTCTTACATACCTTGGGTGTGGGAATTTCAACGATTTCGGTCGAACCAGCTTTGATCACGATCTCCTTAGGTTCTTCGTCGCCAATAGTAAATTCGAAATCTTCATCTCGCTTGAGTCCACCGTATTGGATCGGGATTTCTTGGATTGGAATGTACCTTCATATTAATCGACATCTCATCATTTTTTTTCATACTTCACTCCATTAATGTATTGCAAGAAAATGAAAAAAAAAGGGAAATGTATACTCACTTGAGCAAAGTCTCAGTAGTCTTAGATGGTCGAACAAAGACTAATTTGCTTCTGCTCCTTTGAGTCAAGAAAGGAGACAGCAGAGAGTGTAAAGCAAAGTGCCAAAAAGGGACATTAATGAAAATCTGCAAAATTAGTATACAAACAACCATTATAAGCTAATCAAATAAGCTATATACTAATAGCTTATATGCTTACCAAACACAATCTTAATCAACAAAAAACAGAGAGAAAAAAAAAAAAAAAAACTCACATTTTTAGCCACAAATTCCGGGTAATTATCTTGAAGAAGAGCCACGGCCTTGTTCACGACAGCCCGAACCTCCTTCCTCGACAGGCCCGGAGAATTCTTCATATCGTTGATCTGAACAAGCGAATTCACACCGCCGGGCCTAAAATCGAGCTTCTCCACTCCTTTCTCCATGAGCTGAACTCGCCACCTCAAAAACCGTTCCCGCTTTTCATCAGAAGCTAGCAACTTTTCATAAACCTCTCCTTTCTCCAAAACCCCGAATATATTGTAGCAAATCGGGTGGCCCCGAAAATCGGTGCCACTCATATAGGCCACCGGGCCAAGATCCGGCCCGAATTCCTCATCCAAGATTGTATGGACTTTGAATTCCTTTCGCCATTGGAGAGTTTTGGTAAGCATCTCGAATGAGTCGTTGATTTTGAATTCGCGGGCCCGGAGAAATTTTAGCAGCACGACATCTGTCCTCTCGTCCCCTTTGCTCGGAAGCAGGGGAATGCCCCAGATTGAAAACGAGTCGGGCTCGGGCTCATTATTATTCTTCTCGGTTTTCCCTTCGGTTGGTAGATTTTCCGAGCATTCCTCTTTCTTTTCAGGGGATTTTTTGAAAAGCGTGTTTCCATTAATGGCGTCTTCGAGCTTCTTTTTCAGCTCGTTCAGTGCTTTCTTCTCGTGATCTTTCAAATCGGACGGAAAATTGGTCTCCTGTCTGTATGAGGAGATTTTCTCTACGGCCTTTGGCTCCAGCTCCGGCTCTGGCTCCGGCTCATCCTTTCCGAACTTTTGTTCTACCGTTGCCGGCGCCGGAGACGACTCTGGAGCCGCCTCAGCTTTGACAACCTCGACCGCCATTTTTTTTTCTTCCTCCGATTGAGTTTTTCTTCAGAAGAAAAAAACGAAAAATTTGAAGAATAATTGAAAAAATGGTTTTTTAATTTTCAAAGCTTTGACAATCTTGACAGCCAATTTTCTTTCGAGCTTGTGCTTTGGGTGTGTGCGAGTGTGTGTGAGAGAGGGTGGCAACGGCTATGTATATATATAGGGGTGTGTTGTGTGTGTGGGGGGTGGGCCCCACAACGGTCGTATGTTAGTTGTCAGGCCCATGTTCGGAGCCGTTAAGGAGATTCATTTTGTTGTGTTGCTATATGATTAGTTAGGCGTGAATTGGGCTGTGCCAGCCTGGACTCCACCGCAGATTCGATTGCCTGAAATTAGGTTGGGCCCATAGGTGGATATATTTTTATTTTGGACTGTGTTTAATGATTGGACTGTGCGGCTACTTTATTGAAGCCCAATCTGTCATTTAATTTACTTTTTTTATACATATATAGATAATGATATTTTTTAATTATATAAAATACTATTTGGTGGCAATTCTTACTAGAATTTATTTGTAGCATATGTGTAAATGACATCATACACAAATAAATATAAAATCATATACGAATTACACCAACTTAAATTTATTAGAACCCTACATAATTATTATATATGATTTTTTTTTTTAAGTTGTGCTAAATCATATTAAAATCATATTCCATACAATTTTTTTATTTTATTTTATCTTATATTTTTGTCTACTCAAGGCACATTTTTTCAATTAAAATTCCAAAAAAACAAAAAAATAATTTTGAATCCAATTTTCTCCTCTATCTCATTTATTAGGTGACAACTAGGGCTGAGCACGGGTCTTGGAGATTACCGAACCGTGTCGAAAATCGAACCGAATTCACCTCGAACCGAAAAATATTTGTTGACCGTTTGACTATCTCCGAACCGAACCGTACCGAAATTTTTTTGGGTATAGTTCTGGAGATTCATAAAATATCCGTACTGAGAACCGAACCGAACTGAAAATAGCCGTACCGAACCGAGGAACCGAACAAGAACCGATTCAAATTCATAAAATCCACATATATATATATATTATATTGTATCATATGTATTTTTTCATCTTTATACATAATTGTATTCCAATAAAATCTATACTCTATGTATATGTCCATAAAACTATCATTAGTTATATTTCAAATTGAGTTGCAAAAAAACATCCACTATTGAACGTTAACATAATTTAAAAAGGGGAAAATAATTATTTTATTTTGGTACTACTTATGAGACACTATTAAATCTAAGCTCATTTTCGAATTAAATTTTTAAAAAGAAAATTAAATTAATATAGTCTTCCTATTACAAAATTTGATAACCAACAAATCAAACAGTTTATTAAGAAAATTATTAAATATAACTTAATATAATTCAAATACCGAATGTTTGGGAAACTAACCTTTATGACTTAAGTCTTTCACAAATTTTGGAGAAAATTATTTATTTAAAGGTGATATATTCTAAAATAAAAATAACTTGAAAGATATTTTTACCACAATATTACATTAAGAACGGATATATCGATTATTTTATTAATAAAAATAAATATCTTTACTTTTCGAAAATAAACTTTATATGTACTATATCTGAATCTGACGATATCGGCCGGAAGAGATTAATTTATTTAGACATAATATATTTCTAAAATATCCTTTTATTTAACAAGTAACTATCTTTAAATGAACTATTGTTCATGTACGTCTTATCACTTACGAATTTTTGGCATATAAACGTTTAGCATATAAATCTTGAAATTATTATATTTTGCAACTACAAGATAATTATCACTTTTTTATAAATAAAAAAAAAAAAAAAAATTCAACCACCTATTCTTACTATTATTTGACGAAATATCTTTTTAAATTAAGATAGATTTATGATTTTCTTTCACCATGATATGTACTATCTAACATGCAATTAGGAGATTTTATAAAAATATAAAAAAATAAAAATTAAAAATTTAAAAAATCTCCGAAATCTCCGATCCGTACCGAACCGACCCATTAGGACCGAATCTCCTAACCGAACTGAATTCGGTCCGGAGATTCATTAGAACCGGTTCGGTTCTGGAGATCCAGTTTTTGAAATCTCCAAATTTCGATTCGGTTTCGGAGATTTCTGGATCTCCGAACCGAACCGACCCGTGCTCAGTCTTAGTGACAACACTTTCTGAAGAAAATCTATAATTGAGCTGGCATGTGAACTGCCCATGTTGCAAATCATGAGTGTTCTCAAGGAATATTGTCTGTCAAATGAATTTGGTCACGAAAGTAGTTATTGTTGAAATCCTTGTTCTTTTAGTTTCAAATTTTAATGGCCTAGCTGGTTTGACCAAGTGGCCCCATTAAAAAGGCTTCTCTTGAAACACAATAGTGTTGGGCCTATTGAGACATAACAAATCAAGTAGACTAGTTAGGCATAAGAACTACAAGTAATCAAAACGACGTTTATTTAAAATGAAAAAATATGAACAAAATAATCAAAACGACGTTTATTTAATCAATGATGACTTAAGTCAAAGTGAAAAATCTATATCTATATAATTACTAACTAATAACATTTAATAAAATCTATTTAATTTTACCTATGTGGCAATTTAACCCTTTTCCCTCCAAAAACTGTTACTTTATGTATTTAACCTTAAATTTAATAATTAAATAATCAACACTAATCACTTCATAATTATAAAAAATCATTTTAAACTTTTGATTACTGTCAGTTGACCATATAATGTGTTGACTGTATAATGTGATTAGATGTTATTATTGTGGTTACATTTAAATAATTTTGTTAAAATAAAAAATGTATTTGAAATTCCTGAATAAATAATAAATAATTCACAAAAAAAGACGTACCAAAATATACATTACATCTAATCAGATAACCGCAATTTAAAAAAAAAAATATATTCAAACTCCTTTACTTGTAAATTTGGTCAGCAAAATGGTGAAAGACAAATAATGATGTAGCGCAGCGTAAACGAAAGGGAGAACAAGATATAAAATCTCAAGTTTGTAATATTATTCATATGCCCATCGGCCAAAAGAGAGGAAGAGAGATTAAATAGAGTCCCAAAACATCCTAGATACCTATCTTGCTAACAAAGTAATTATTAATTAAGCTATTACCAACTAAGAAAAGGAAAATAAGGAATACTAATAAAAATATCTAGGAAATAAAATAATCTAAATTAAGGACGGCATCCGATCATATTTCTCCAGAAACGCCAATGCGATCTCGTCTCCATCATCCTCCCCCGGTTGGACAAGAGTCGCCCTCGAATCCGAAGAGATCTCGTCTCCATCTCCATCTCCATTTGAATTATCATCCCGGAATGGCACCAAATGTTTGGCGTTAAAAAGGTCAGAAGTCCGCAAATGAGACAGAAGACGCAAACGGTAGGCATTCAGATTAATCTTCTCGACAATCTCAACCGACCCAATCTTCTTAGAAGCTTACTTGTTGTACTTGTGGGCCGAGAAATGGTCCTGGGTGAGGATGGCCCAAAAAAAATCGCCAGCATCAAACTCAACATGCCGGCAACGTGCATCCGCGGTCTTCTTGTAGGCCGCCATCATTTCCTCCAAACGCGACTGGGCCGCTGCATGGGTACGCCGGAGGTCGGCCATAAGCTCCTCCGCGCGACGATCAGTCGTCGCCGCCGCGGGAAGGGCGATCAAATCCGATGCTCCACGGGGCCGCACCGCATAGACGACCTCGAAAGGAGAAAATCCGGTGGCCCTACTCACAGCCGAATTATGGGCAAACTCAGCCTGACTAATTTTCTAATCCCAACTCTTCAGGTTCTCACCGACCAAGCAAGGTAACAAATTCTCAAGAGAGCGATTCACGACCTCCGTCTGGCCGTCAGTCTGAGGATGATATGCACTACTGAACACCAACCGTGTGTCGGCCAGACGCCACAGGCTACGCCAAAAATAGCTAAGAAAACGAGTGTCGCGGTCGGAAACAATAGAAGAAGGCAGCCCATGCAAACGATACACTCCCCGAAAGAAAAGTTGTGCCACGTGGACGACATCCGCAGTCCTCTTGCAAGGTATGAAGTGGACCATCTTGGAAAAGCGATCGACAACGACGAAGATAGAATCATGACCCCGCTGGGTACGTGGTAAACCCAGAACGAAATCCATACTAATGGCACTCCATGGGCGATAAGGAATCGGCAACGACCGATAAAGCCCGGCATTAGACGCAACACCTTTGGACACCAGACACACGCGGCAACACTCGACAAAACGCGAAACATCACGCCGTAAAGAAGGCCAAAAAAAGGAATGACGTACCAAATCAACGGAACGGTCACGACCCACGTGCCCCACCCCATGCAAATCCGTCACCACCTTGAGACGAAGGCTACAATCGAGAAGATACAACCGAATCCCACGAAATAGAAAGCCATCAGAAAGAGCATAGTCCTCGACCGGGCCCAAAGAGAGGCGAGACATAATGGGACCGGAAAAAGGATCAGTGGAATAGAGGTCCCGGAGCAGGTCGAACCCGACCGTCGAAACATGCAAATCAGTCAATACCAACGAATGACGGCTCAATGCATCTGCCACGCGGTTAGAAGCACCTGAGCGATGCCGTAGAACAAAATTAAACTATTGCAGATAAGAAGTCTAAGATGCATGGCGGGCAGAAATATTACCTTGGGAACAAAGATGACGTAACGCCTCGTGGTCGGTATAGAGGACAAACTCGCGGTGAAAGAGATAGTGGCGCCATTAGTGAACAGCACGATAGACGGCATAGAACTCGACATCGTACGTGCTATAAGGTAACCGCGGTCCGGACAACTTCTCGCTAAAGAAAGCCACTGGTCGACCATCCTGACTCAACACTACGCCGATCCCAACCTTCGAAGCATCACAAGAAAGCTCAAAAGCAACAGCAAAATCAGGAAGAGCGAGCACATGAGCTTCGATGAGCTTGGATTTGATAAG